GTTCGCCACCTCACGGTGCATATCTTCCAGAGCACGTGCCATTTCGGTCAGGTGTTGCTGCTGCTTGGCCCAGAGAGTCTCAGCGTCCATCGAAACGACCTTTTTATCAGAAAAATTGTCGCGACCGGGGTCACTGCAAACAGACCTGTGAACGCAGTGAGCGGGGCAATACCACCGAGTCGGTCGGAAGCTTTGCTGGTTCAAGGCGACTTGAACTAGCCCGAGCACGCCTGACCCTTTGGACGGTGCCAGCCTACGCTCGCTAAGAATTGAACGCATGCATTGATAAGCGAAGTCGGTTCACGACTTCGATTGTCCCGTTCGCCCAGGGGCAATATGCTGTTGCGAAGTGATGATTAGCTCCCACTGCAGCTGCGATCTGCTCGATCACCTGGCTCATGAAATGGATACCTTGGTCCGAAACCCACTGCGGCACCACACCATAACGGTTGAACCACGCAAGTAGAGCCACAGCACACGCGCTAGCGTCCGGTGTTTCACTCGGTACAGCTCCACAAAACCGCTGAAGTCGTCTTTCATCGCCAACACGTATTTGTAGCCAGTGTCTTCGTCCACCGGCAGCGAGAGAAAATCTAAGTGTAGGACCTCGTTAGGCTTTGTTGCATGAATCGCTGGTCCAAACGGTCGAGGCTCACGTCCGTTTCGGGTGGCCACACAATGTATACAGTCTTGTACGAAGCGAGTGACATCAGCGCTCAGTGTACGCCACCAACACCAGTCTGCGACCGCTTCCATCGTGGTTTTAGCGTCACGGTGGCCGCTAACACCAGCGTGGGCAACAACACAAATGCGATGGATGAGGCCCGTTGACACCTCCGGTATCCACACCAGGTTTCCACCCAGCACGAAGCACTCTTGTTCGTCGCTCCACTGCACCTGGGCAGAACGGTCATCTTGCTCCCGCTGAATCGTGCGGATCTCGTCCATTATCGGCCAGTCGAACTCGGACGAAGCCAGCGGCGAGATAGGCGGGACAACCACAACTTGGTTGACATTAGCAGCGATGCCTTCAGGTTTGTTGACACCACAGCCCCAACGACTCAGCATATCAGCCCATACGTTATCGGCTCCCTTGACATGCTCGATCACGTACTTGTACGAAGTCATAACCATGGACCATCGCTGAAGCTTGTCAGCCTGGTAGCGCTGCATCGGTCCGTCACTTGCGGACGGGTTAAACATGTACACGAGGTTACGATGGTCCGTAAACAAGTGGAAGCCGCCAGGTCGCAAAAGCAGGTACTCCAAGCGCTTCGCCGCCTCAACAATTGCGAAAGCCTCCTTCTCAATTGTCGGCCAGCGTAGTTGAGCACCCGTAAATTTGCCAATGAGAAATGCTAGGGGCTTGTGATCCTGTTGGTCGGGCGGTTTCGCCAAGTCGTTTTCATCCACTGCAGTACAGACGGCCGCCGAGAAGTCTTGCGACGCATCGGTGTACAAGGCGACGGCGGTGTTCGGGTCAGGATGTGCCAGTGAAACCATGGCAAGTAGTGCGTTGCGGAGCTGCTGAAGAGCCTCTGTATGTTGAGGTCCCCACCCTAGCTCCACGAGAGAAATTCGGCCCAACTGCTTTGACTTCAGCCCACCTGCACGCTTGGCCGCGTCGTCCACCACACGCAGCAACGGGGGTCCACTAACTCGCTGTAGCCGGCGATGTTCTGCCGCATCCAGTTTGTGTCACAAAGGAACTGCTGGAGCTGCCCAGCATTTACCGGATCGGGCATGGAGACCAGTCCTTGCACTCGAGACGGGCAATGCTTCACACCTTCAGCGCTAACGAGCTTTCCGCACCAACGTGCCTCACGAAGAAAGAAATGACACTTGCCTGGGTGTAGCTTAAGTCCGAAAGACTTACAGGCCGACAACACGCGTTCCAACACCTCCAGCAAAGTCACGTGGTCCTCCGCGTATCCCAAAATATCATCCAGCCAGGCCAGGATACCATGATAGAGGAGTGGTTGGAATACCTCCTCCACCACATGTTGACAATACGCCACCGAGTCCGTGCCTCCCATGAGAACGCGCGTGGGCGTGATTATCCCACGGTGCGTCACAATAGAGAACATCTCCTGCGAGTCAGGATGCAGCGGAAGCTGCCAGTAACCACGAAACCAGTCGAGCGTAAAGTAGCACATCGTGCCTTCCAGCAATCCCAGGGCCGCATCGAGTATGGGCATCGGCCACTGGATGGGATCCGCTCGCTCATTCACTCTCCTTGTGTCGACCGTCATCCGATAGGTTCCCGGTGTGCTCTTCGACACAATCCGAGGTGGTGACGCCCAACGGCTACGCGGATTTACATACACCAGTCCCGCATCGAGTAGTTCGCCGACATGCTGCTCCAAATACTCCATGGGAGCCGGCGGATACCGGCGTGCATTGGTACGAACAGGAGTAGCTCCTTCACGGAGGCGCACGCGCAGCGGTTCTACCCGCCCTGGGGGATCATGACCGAAGGAAGTCCGAAAAACATCTTGATACTCCAGTAATAGCAGCCTCAGTTGTTCGACCTCAGCTTCCCCTAGACCGGCGAGGGCAGATTCTTCCACACGCTCCTGTAGGATCGCAGCGACCTGGTCACCTTGTTTCCATCCAGCTCCGGCGTCGCAACTCTCAGTCCGTTGCGTCAAGACGGGCTGAGTCCGAGAGAGAATTATCACGAATGAGGTTGATCGACGCGCTCCCTTCTCCGCCACCTAGCTCCTGCAAATCCCACTCCTGCCGAGTGTCACACGCTCCGGCCAGAATAGCATCAGCCGAATATGTTGAAGGAATGATTTGCGCAGAGTTGTTAGGGCAGTACAGAACTGAATGAGGACAAAAGTAGAGAGGATTAGGCGGCCATAGTGAAGAGGAAGTCTTGAATGTAGAAGGAGAAGACGCTTGTGTGGTAGAGTTCGTAAAAGAGGAAGTGGTGATTTAGATAGTCTGGTGTCCTGGAGGGGAGTTATTCTCCACCAACCAGTCCAGTTATATAAGAAATCTCTATATGATATAGCACAATTATATTCCCCTAGATAGTCAGTATCACATCGGAGATGGTTACTTCAACAGCCTCCCACATCGAGGAATGTGTATGATGCTCTATCTGTCAGGTGCACCACAGGTGGCTGTTAATAACAGTCCTGTGCGTACATGAACATTTACAAGAGGTAGATCTTGTTTTGATATTGACATTCTTTTTTCTTTGACTTCTATTGTCAGATTTGTCGTTTTGTTACCAGTTTTGGCAGGGGTTGTACAGATTTCTTGTTTTATTGTTATTTTGGCTACTCAGGAAAACCGTAGAGGATTAAACCTGTTCACCATAGTAGGATGTCGTTGTTAGCGCTTTTGTTGCACGCGTTTTGAAGAAAGCTACTCAAGAAAACCTTTCATTTTGAGGTGTCAAAACCTGTTCGCTGTATTGTTGGCTACTCAGGAAACCTTTGAGGATACACCTGTTCACCGTGTTGATATTTAGATATTTTGTGAAAGTTGTGTTAAACTTTTGTTCATTAAACTGCCAGTTTTGTGCTCTTTAGTTTGTGGATATTTCTTCACACTTTGAAATTTCGTATTTGCTGTTTGTTATTATTGTGATTGCTTTTACTTTTTTGTGGAGAGTTTATAGTTTTCAAATATTTTTAAAGAAAGGCTACAGCTTTCAAAGCATAAAAACATCTAACAGTGTCATTGGTAGTGTACATGTACGCATCTTGTTTGCAGGCTCTCATCGTTGGGGCTATTTTTCTCCCTAGAGGCTCATGGAGTTGTTTCTCATTTCGAAGATTTTTATTTTGTTTATACTTCGCAAGTGCAAGCAATAGGTTTTGTAAAACTATTCGATTCCATTGAAAATGAAACTAATGCAGTAAAACTATAGTTGCTTTCTGTAGACAGAGGCTTGTGTAGGCTTGTCTTAAAGTCATTAAGTATTGAAGATTTTTTCTTTATGCTGGAAATGTTTGAAACTTTTGCCGCAATAAATTTTTTAAGTTTGGTGAATTGAATGAATTGGTTTCGGCGTTGTTGCCTCCCAGTTTCATACATTTCTGGGCGTATTTCTTAACTTGGTTAAAATACCAGACACATGTTTTGTATGGGACAATTGCCCCATTTTCATTTTTATCTCTTTCTTGGTTTTTTTAAGTATATTTTTATTTTACAGGTCCAAAATGTAGTGGATTACCTGTTCTCAACAAGCCGTAGATCTGCATTTAGTAGACTGCTGCAGCTTTGCATTAAGCGAGGTTTTAGCTGTGCCATTCCTCCTTGTAGCTCGAGATGCACATATTTAAAATGGTATTTCATTAAGTACACATATACTAGTAGTAAATACACAGCTTGTAGCTGGAATAATTTTTGCACAGCTTTATAGCTCGCAAGTGGGGCATTTGGCCTCCCAGTATGGCGTGACACTACAGCAATGCTGCTGGTGCGTGAGGGCGGTATTTAGTTCTTCGCCTTAAATATGTACTACATGTACTTGTACATCATCAAATGCATGTACGTGTATGTGTACGTGTACGTGTACGTGTATGTGTACGTGTACGCGTACATGTACGTAGAGCACAAGGCACTGTGGCCTTCTAGTACGGCTTTTCAACCAGACAGCGCTATGGCTGGTCTGGCATCATGGCCTCACAACTCGGCAATGGCCGGTGTGGCACGGAATGTATGTGTCTCGTGCGGCGCTACAGCTCCATGGCTGGCGCGGGGGTTTCATGAACTCCCAGCATGGCGAATAACTACGCATGCTGTGCTACAGCACAGTGGCTGGAGCCAAGTTGGCAACGTGGCCTCACGCGAGTTGGTGTCCGTCGGCGATTTTCTCTCCGATCTCCTTCATGAGCCTTGGGGCTTGGAGGCGCATCGTCTTACCGCTTTCAGCTCGTCAGTACCCTGGCGAAGCGTTGGGCTGATAACCTGTTGAAGGAATGATTTGCGCAGAGTTGTTAGGGCAGTACAGAACTGAATGAGGACAAAAGTAGAGAGGATTAGGCGGCCATAGTGAAGAGGGAGTCTTGAATGTAGAAGGAGAAGACGCTTGTGTGGTAGAGTTCGTAAAAGAGGAAGTGGTGATTTAGATAGTCTGGTGTCCTGGAGGGGAGTTATTCTCCACCAACCAGTCCAGTTATATAAGAAATCTCTATATGATATAGCACAATTATATTCCCCTAGATAGTCAGTATCACATCGGAGATGGTTACTTCAACAGAATACCCGAGGTGCTCCATTACGGGTCTCGACAGGACCAGCACGGACTTGCTCTTTTCTTCTTCAAACACCCATGCCCGCGTATTGCGAAGAAGCAAGGGACCTGCCGTCGTGCGCAGTTGAATCACATTGAAGATAACACGTTGCGTCACGTCGAAGCAGCTACCATCAAACGTAGCCAACTGCCGAGGCGGACACTGCGCCTCTCGCACTGCAGCACCACTCCGCAGCAATTGGTCAACCAAACCCCGGCTCGCCACATTCACGTCCGCCCCGGAATCCAGCAGGACATCATGAATGTCGAGAACATTCTCCGCCCTAGCCATGCATGCGCTGCCCGGATCGATCGGAGCTTCTTCGAGGCGAAGCGCTTTGATAGCATGTACAGGGGCGGATACCTTCGCCTCCACCGGGGGATTTCCTGGCCTTGCCTCCCTCCATTTACGTAGAAGGTCTTCTGCCTCGCCGGCTGCTGCATGGGGACAGTCCTTAGCGCGATGAGCCTCGCTGCCACACTTCAAGCAGGTCCGCTTGCGAGGAGGCGGCTTGCTCTCTTCGGTGCGTGGAGACGTTCCGGCGGGCTTCTCGGGCTTCCTCCCGCTCGACTTCGCCACCGAGACAGAGGACTGGCTAGCGGGTTCCCACCGTAGATATTCCTTACAGCTGGCACGAAGCCACTTGATAAAAGCGACGACATCCTTCAGCAGGGGCTTGTTTGACTCGCGCGCCAGCTCGTTCTTCACGGTCTTGTTGAACTGCTCTGGGGCCAGGGCATCCATCAGGTAATGGACGATCTTCTTCGGCTCGCTCTCAACCATCCACTCCATGTTCTCGGTCTCGAGCACTTGGTACATTGCGTGTGCAAGCTTTGAGTCAGCATCGGTAAGACTCACATCCATCACCAGCTTGCGGCTCATGAGCATCTTGACCTTGTCGAAGTCTTGTTCGCCCGTAATCCTTCCTTCCCATACCGGTAAGTAGTTGATCCAATCGGCTTCTGTTATCGCGTCGATTTGTTTACAGATGTCGAGCATAGCGATCAGACGGCGGCGCTCATCCTCGACACACGCACCAACTGGCATTCGGAATGGACGAAAGAACGCCGTTTCGAGGGCGGACAGCTGCCGGCAATAGGCTTCGTACTTCTTCATGAAGCCTTGTTTTTCTTGAGCCGTCG